TGGTATGACAATCAATCAACTATTAGTATAGCCAAAAATCAAATACATCATGATAGAACCAAGCATGTGGAGATTGATCGGCATTTCATAAAAGAGTAGGTAGAAAACAAGACCATTACCTTACACTATGTTTCTACTAATCTTTAGACTGCTGATATCCTTACAAAGGCACTACCAACAGGAAAATTTAATAACATTGTATCCAATTTAGGATTATTCAATATATATGTAACCTAAATTGAGGGAGAGTGTAGAAAATGGTAGAATAAAGGTAGTTTAGTAGTGACTCTTTCTGGACAGGTGGAATGTCCACCACCACCACTAGATATTGGTTACGATTGTTACTTATTCTTTTTTTTTTCCTGTTTTTCTCACACTCTCACGTTTGGTGTGACATCAGGGCAATGAGTGCCTATAAATAGAACCTCACTTTTTCTGTTTTAAGCAAGCAAAAAAGAAGAGAAGAATCTCTCATTTTTATCTCTCTCAAACTCTGCTTCCATTAAAATCTTCAACATCTAAGGAGTTGTTGTTGTAACTGTTTGTGGAGGCAAAGAATTTGAGGAAAGAAAAATAGTGATTATTTCAGTTTCCTAATATTGGAATTCATCTATGTACCAAATTTCCCCTTGAATTGTAGTTTTGGGTTAGAAGGGCTAAGTTCACTATGCTGGGACTTATGAATATAAAAGAATGCAGTACAACCAAATATTTTGACTGGAATGGATGAGACTATTTGAATAGACAAATGTATTGTGATGAAGATTTGAAATGGGGCTTTAAATTTGAGAACTCTAGAAGACATTTAGTTGATCAGGAAGCTTGTTGTAAGAACTGCTTGAAAGAACTACTTCACCCTGAAATTGTTTCCCTACGTTTAAGGAAATCATGACTGATCGTGCGATTCCATCAAGTGTTTGTTTTTGCATTTAACAACTCCATTTTTCTCTAGAGTATCAATGCATGTTCGATGTGATGCTCCTATAGATATGACCTGAGAATATTGTGATAATATTCTCGTGTATTATCCATTCAAAGGACTTGAATCTTTGCTTGACATTGTGTTTGGACCATATTGTTAAAAATTTCAAATATTTGCTTTACTTCTTTTTTTTTTTTCATGAGAAATGCCCTAGTAACTCGCATGTTGTCATCAACAAAAGTGAGAGATTATCTAAAGCTCGTAATGTTTTTGACTCTAAAGGCTCCTCAAACATCAATGTGGATGAAAGAAAGGATGAAATGGTTGAATGGGTTAGAAATTCTGCATATATTTGGATAATTAACATATTTCAAACTGAAAATTTCTGGAATTTTTATTGAAGAATGATGGATATAGTTCTTTAAGATACAAATAATTTGGGTGGCCTATTCGATAACATCATAAAATGACATCATTCTTTTATCAGTACTAGGGGTAGACACTACACAAACAGTCTTCATTGGCAGCCAATGAATTTCCTCAATTCTCAGGAGGTAAAGTCCTGCACTTACCTCAGCATGGCCAATCCTCTTCCTAGAGTATAAGGCCTGAAATTCACACGTACCTAACACAGTTAAGATCCTATATAAGTCTACTTATGGATGATAAGTTGCAATCAAATTTTGGAACATGAAGCATAAAGCGAAGGGTAATTTCTTTGGAAATAATGACTGGTCTGTTTCAGCTACCTTAGAAAGGCTTCCGTAGACAATTCATATAGAGAAATTGTTATTGACACAAAGTAGATTCGTGGAAAACCATAAGATTCCTAGTCATATGACCCAAAGCTCCCGAGTCCACTATCCATGTAGTATTGTTTCCCTATCTAACATTGAAGGCATATGGAAAAATACCTTTCTGTGCTATAGATACAATACCGATAGTTGTTCCAGCAGATTGAAGAGTGTCTTGGAATATCTTCTATAGTGTCTTCAGTTGCTCTTTGTTAAATGGACTAGGATTGAGATTTGAGGTAGTGCCTAGTTTGTTTTCTTTGGTCATCACGATGTAGCCATGTCATTCTCGGTTTTGCTGTGACCATGAAGATTTTTAGTCAGCAGGTTTCCCGTGCAGATGGCAGCAAGTTTCCTTTTCGTGTCCAAAGTTTCTATAATGGTTGCAGCATGGATGATTCTTCTTTGTTTGATGTGGTTGTTGGATTGGGTTCCTCTGCAGCCAGGGCTGAGTTCTCAAGGCCTTTGGATGAGTTTTGGAGTCTCAACATCACTTTTTGGTTGCTTTCTTCTTTGTGAATCTAAGAAAAAACTTCCCTAGCAATATGCAATGGCTTGATACTTAGAAATCTTCCACTCACCTTTGGATGAGTTTTTGGAGTCTCAACATGACTTTTTGATTGCTTTCTTCTTTGTGAATTTAAAGAAAAACTTCCCTAGCGCTATGCAATGGCTTGATGCTTAGAACTCTTCCATCAAGCAAGAATTTGTAGATCTGCTCATTTTCAACTATCTTCTTGTAGAGAAGACCATCTTTGAGGCACTTCTAGGCCAATTCTTCATAGATATCAAGTTTTTGCCAATATCGCATAAGGGTGTTGAAGTACTCAATAACAATTGAATCTTCTTGCCCAAAATCATGGAGAATGCCTTTGATTTCGAAAAATGCTGAGGTGTTGTCAAAGTCTGGGTAGGTTTTGCTAGATGCATAAAATATCTCCTTTGCTGTGCCATAGTAAGTGAAGTCTTCTCCTAGGGCTTTGGTCATATAATTGATTAACCAAGACATCACCTTACTATTTTCTAATTTCCAGGTTTTATATCCTAGATTATTTTTCTTTGGTTCAACAATGGCTCTCGTGAGGTATTTTTCCTTTCCTTTCCCACAGATGAAATCTGGACCGATTGAGCCCATTGGGTATAATTTTGCCCACTGAGTTTGTGGCATGTTATGGGAAGAAAATACTTTCTGCGGTGCTGGTGTTGTCAATGTAAATTGCTTCAGATCTGGATGTCATTTCTGAGTTTGATTCTTCCTCTCTGCTCGCCATGGGAAAATGCTTTTTATCTTTTTTTTTTATTTTTTTTATTTATAGTTCAGATTGTGCTCTGTTACCATGTAAAAATTCTTTTTTCCTTATTGAATTCTGAATACAAATGAATCAATACATACAGGTTTAGTTTCCAAAATAGGACACACAAAATATGCACATTCGATCTCCTTGAGTACTAAAACAGGAAATAGTAATTAATTATGAGAGATCCTCTCACTAGAAAATAGGAAATTAGCTTAACAGGGTCTTGCTAATCTTGATACTTAATTACCACTCAAAATCCCATGATTTTAGCACTTATTTAGGATCCCATTATTTTAGCACTTAATCAAAATCACTTGATGTTGGCACTTAATACAAATCCGATGATCTTAGCACTTGATACAAATCCCATGATTTTAGCACTCAATCAGAATCCCATGATCCTAACACTTATTACAAATCAGAATCTCATATTTCCACAATTAGCATATTCTAACTATTTTACAAACAAGGAACAAATAACTAAAATTCCTAATGAATTATACTTTTCACACTTCACCTCAAGTTAATAGATAAACATTGTCTATTCCCAACTTGGTAATGATAGTTTAAAATGCAGGGTTGCTTAAACTTTTGGTTAACACGTCAGCAATTTGAAAATTAGTGGGAACATAAGATGTGCATATCAAACCATTATCTAGTTTCTCTTTGATGAAGTGTTTGTCCAGTTCAATATGCTTGTTCTGTCATGTTGTACAGTATATGTGGTACAGTAGTAGTACCATACTAATTGCAAGTTTGTTGTCACAGTAAAGTCTCACAAGACCATTCTAGCTAATCTTCAAGTTTTTCAAGATAATTCTCAGCAATAATAGCTTATAGACCTATTTTGCTCTGGCTCCAAACTTTGATTCTGCACTTGATCTAACCAACACATTATGTTTCTTGTTTCTCCATGTGACAAAATTTCGTCCAAAAAAAGTGCAATAATCTATAGTAGATCTTATACTCACTATTAACTCATCATAGTTAGTGTTCACGTAAGCTTCAAGTACTATTCCATTATTCTTTTTAAACAAAATGCCTTTTCCTGGAGTTCCTTTAAGATAGTGTTGTACTTTATATGCTGTATGCAGATGAATTTCTTTGAAATTTTGCAGAAACTGACCTATTACATTCAACAATATAGGCAATACTAGATCTTGTGTGCAATATCTTTCTCTGTCGGTTTAAGTTTGTGATTGGATCTATTGGCATACTTTCAGGACAACTTTCTTGTATTTTGAAAAGATTATTGATTTACTTCTGTTGAAAGATAATGATTCGATGTTTGAGTGAACCACTTTGATCCTAGAAAATATTTCAATCTTCCTGAATTCTTTTGTTTCAAATTCATTTGCTAGATTATGTTTAAGGGCCAGTCTTTCCTTTTCATTTTACATCACCAACATAAATTAGTAGAACTGCGACTTCCACAAATTTGGGTGCTTGATGAAGAGTGTATAGTCCACTTGACTCTTTTTATATCATATGGCAAGCATTATTTTTGCAAATCTCCCAAACCAGGCTTTTGGTGATGCTTCAGTCCATACAAAACCTTTTTTAAGTTTGTAGACTTTATTGGGCACCACATTCTCAGTAAATCTAGATACGGTTTCCATGTATATTTACTTTTGGAGATCCCCATGTAAGAAACAGTATTTACATTAAACTATTGCAGCTGCCAATCATAGTCAATGGCTGGGGATAGCAGTACTCTGACCATATTCATCTTAGCAACAGGAGTGAAGAGTTCTTGTTAATCTATCCCATAAATCTGTATGTATCCCTTGGCCAATAAGAGCAAAGGTTGCTTAACCTTGAAATTCTGAAGTGACAGATCGATATGAAAATCAGGGCAAAATTCAGGAACCAGTATGAAGAAAAGCTTTTTTAAATATATAAATTTATGTTTTGTTAACTTCTCCGAATTGATAATGCTCGTACAAACGGAATTGACTGCAAACTGAATTCTTTTATGTGCTATAGGTACCAGATTATGTCTTTACATTCCAGCAAGGAAAATCTAAACGGTTAGACATTTTCTTCTCGTATCTTCCTGAACTTTCTTGCCTTCCTCCCCAGAAATGTTAATAAAGAGTCTGAGTATACATGCAGGCCATTTGGAAGGATATGGTGGGATGAGACCATTGGAACTGTTGTAACATTTCCAAGTTATCAGAGCCAGGTCTCATTATGTGCTTATTTACTTTATATCAATGCCCTTTTCATGGATATTGTTTGAGAGTTTTGACTTGTATAGGCAGCATTACATCCAGAGCAAGATCGAGTCCTTACCATACGGGAATATGCAAGGTTGCAAGGTTTTCCTGACTACTATAGATTCCGGGGGACAGTTAAACAGAGGTATTATGGTTTTCATCTAATATTTTATACCCTAAAATGATGCATTTGATTAATGAAATATAAATTCTAAAACCAAGAATACTCAAAAATCATGCTGTAGACATCAAGTGGCTACACATACATGTTTAGGGAAATGTTCTGGCATGCATCTTCTGTAAATAAGTGCTGGTGAGATCATAAATATTTTCAAGTAAATATTTTCACAAATAAACTGTAAAATCTTCTTAGTACAAAATTAACCAATTTAGTTTGATTTAGAAAACTCTTAAAATGTAAGTAACAAAAAATATTATGCAATAAAAGGTAGTCTATATGTAAAAATCAGTAACTGCCATATTTATCCTAAATAGGCATATAAAACAGAAGTAGGAAATGATTATGACTAAAGGTAGACATCCCAGAACTAAGGGTGTTAGTGGAATAGATTGGTTTGGCTTAGACTCTATAGCCAAACCAAACCATTAAATTTGGTCTATAAAAAATTCAAATTATTTTATCACAAAAACCAAATAAAACAAAAACAGTTTAGTTTGGTTCGGTTATGGATTTGGCTTAAACTAATTAATATATTTTCAAGAATTCTTTAAGTAGTGAGGAATTGGATTGTGGGGGGTGACTTTAACATGACTTGACGTACCGAGGAGAGGAGTGGTTCGTAATGGGTTGATGCCGGACTCGATGGTCTTCAAGGAGATGGTGAATAAGTTAGAACTCGTTGATTCACCACTTTTAGGGGGCCAATGGACCTGGACGCATATGCGGAACCAACCTGTTTGCTCCCAAATTGACAAGTTTTTGGTTTCTCCCGCTTTTCTGCTACAGTACCCTGGAATCTACCGAAAAACTCTACAAAGGCCTATTTCAGATCACTTCCCAATCTGTTTGCATATGGATGGAATCCAGTGGGACCAATTCCTTTCAGACTGGATAATAGGTCGCTGGAAAATCAGGAATTTGGGAATTTTGTTGAAGAAAAATGGAAAACGTACATGGTCCAAGGTACTGCAAGTTTTAAATTGGCAAGGAAATTAAAAATGCTAAAGAATGAGATCAAGGAATGGATAAAAGATGAATTTAGGAGGGAGGGGGAAGACTTCATTAATATCATGAATGAGATTCATGAGACTGATCAAATGGAAGGTATGGGGGAACTTAATGAGGAGGTTTGGAATAAAAGAAACAGTT